ATATGAAAACAATAAAACAATGAAACTGGAGCTTTAAACACAAGGCTTGAAGAAGCTTAACAGGGTCATTAATCACCTCTATAATGGTTAAATAAATATCTGAAATGGTATTTAATATTGTATATTTGTGTGTTTCTGGAGAAGTTGTTCATAGTCTCTTTGGACAACGTCAACATGTGGTCCTTTGTGACCATTTTCTTTCGCTAACCATGCATATAATCAGTGTTTCTCCATCTTGCAGCGTCTATCAGATCTTCATTTCTTTTCTCGTATTCCATTGTATGGATGGAACACATTGTATGTTCCACTGTATGAATTTCATCTGTTCATCAGTTGACATTTGGTTTGTTTCTAATTTGAGGCTATTATAGATAATGCTTGTATAAACACTAGTGCATAAGGTTTTATGTGGATGTATGTTTTCAGTTCTCTTGGTATGAACGTTTTGTCAAAAGTTCTTGTAATTTTGATTCGTTCCTGATGGCTAATGAGACTAAAGATTTTTCATGTGCTTATTTGCCATTTGTATGTCTTCTTTGTCCATTTTTAAAATTGGGTTATTTGTCCTTTCAATATTATGTAGTATAGGTAAAGTGTAGATACAAGACACTTTTCAGATGTTTTTCAAAGTTTTCCCCATTCATTTGGTTGTCTTTTCACTTTTTTTCATGGTGTCCTTTGAAGCACATAATTTTAGTTTTGATGAGGTCCAATTTATCTATTTTTTTCTACTGTTAGTTAGATGTTTCATGCATATACATATAAGAAGCCATTGCCTAATCCAAGGTCATGAAAGTTTACAGTGTTTGTCCTGAGAGTTTAATTGTTTTGTCTGTTACATTTAAGTCATTCATCTTTTTTTGTATGTGGTATGACGTAAGAGTCCAAGTTCATTCTTCTGCATATGAATGTCCAGGTATTCCAGCACCATTTGTTGAAAGACTGTTTGGTCACCATTGGCTTGAAAAATTGGTTGACTGTAAATGCAGATACTTGGTTTTTTAGTAGAAAGGTTGAAACTTGATTTGTCCTTGCCAGGAATATTTTTTCTTTTTAAGAAAAAGACTTTCAGCTCACTGTGACCTTAAACTCTAGGCTTAACCATCTTCCTGCCTCACCTTCTAAGTAGCTGGGAGTTACAGATATGTGGGACTATGCACAGCTAATTATTATTATTATTTTTTGGTAGAGATGGGGTTGCTTAAATTGGTCTTAAACTCTTGTCCTCAAGTAATCCTTCCTTCTCAGCCTCCCAAAGTGTTAGTATTAAAGGCATATGCCACCATGCCCAGCCAGGTTGTTTTGTTTTTCAGAATGAATTTAGGTTACCTTTCCATTAGGACTAACTTTCTGGGACAGTGTCATCTAATATTGCATCATTTCTTTATGCCTTCTTTATTACTATTTTGGTAATTGAAAAATCTTCATTTACTGTGCTCTTGGATTGTATTGTGCTTTCCTTTAAATCAGGAAACCTGAATTCTTTTAACATCCAGTTCTCTCTTAAGTTGTTCAGAAACACTGTAAACATGTTAGAATTAGAACTGGTGTTAAAGAGATTTATGTCTTCTCCACCCTGTCACTTGTTTTCAAAGTTTAGCTAGAGGCAAAGGTTAATCTTTAAATATGTCATGCTTATAAGGTTGGGATAGTGCTGAGTGGCTGATGTTGTGCCGATTCCAACAGAAAAACAATTTACAATACACTATGAGGCTTGAAGTCCACTGAGTTCTGAAATCATGGACTCAAAACATGAAATGAAGAATTGTAAACTGTGTTTCTCCTTTCGTATCTGTGAGGTTGAAGTGGTTATCAGAATCAACTGAGAGCTAGATTATACTGAGTTTTAAAACTAATCCAGGAGATTATCTATCTCTAATGCAACACCACAATTCATGGGAATTTGGTTATTTTTTTCATGGCAGATTTCAGAAGGGGAAACACTTTCTTAAACGCTGTGTTTGCCTTTTTCTATATTTCTGAAATTTTGGTGAATACAAAGCGTATGCATACTTGAAGTACATTGTGTATGAATAAGATCATTTATTCCATTGGCATTTATCATGCAAATACTGCACAATATATATTACAGTGTATTGTCTTTGTCTAGTTTTTAGTGTGTTTTTATCTGATATGTTTCCATAATATGCATTCAGTGGATACAGTAATAAGACTGTTAACCTGAGGTCAATTTTCCAGAAACCCAAAGCATCGCAAACACGTTCCCTCAATAGTAGCATAGAGAAATTGTTATTTAAAAGAGGAATAAAATGGGAAATGTTTTATTTTATATGATTTGTGGACTTTCTTTTAGAGTTACTCTCAAGTTGATTATCTTTTTTTACAAGATTAAAATTCAAAATAAATGACAGTTTAAGGAGCTGAGTTGAAAACTGTTCTAGACTAGAAGTAACAGCAATGTGTGCTTCTAAAGTGCTTTTGAGCACAGCAATAGTAGCACAGAATGACGGTGTAGTGAACTGCAGTGGAGATTCAGTAGTGAACATAACAGACAGGAATTCTTGACTCTCTTTATATATCTCTCTGATTAAGTTGGAGGAAGATAGAAAATAAAAGAACAGCCAGGTATGGTGGCTCATGCTTATAACCTTAGCACTTTGGAAGGCTAGGGTGGGAGGATCACTTAAGGCCAGGAGTTCAAGACCAGCCTGGGCAGCAGGCTGGGAGAGACCTCAACTCTCCAAAACTAGAAAAATTAACCAGATGTGGTGGAGCGTGCCAATGGTCTCAGCTACTCAGGTGGCTGAGGTGGAAGGATCTCTTGAGCCCAGGAGTTTGAGGCTATAGCAAGCTATGATAACCACTATACTTTAGTCTGGGCAACAGAGGGAGCCCCTATCTCAAGGGGGGAAAAAAAAGGAAGGAAGGAAGGAGGGAAAACATATATATAGATAGAATAATCTGTTGATGTTGGCTAGACCTGGAAGCAAGCATAATGAAATTTAGTGATTAATGTAAATATGTAGTATTATATAGTTTTCCAAGTTTTTCTACTGAGGCACCCTTGGAGGCTTACTTGTCCCTATTGGCCTCATACCTAAGTACTTGTCTCCCCCCACCATAGTATTATGTCTGATAGTCTCGTTTATCTTTGACCCTTAAATTCTTAAATTCATTGTATTCTTTTTCTTTCTTCTCCCAAAATTCTTCCTTGATTTATAAACTTTCAACTTATGAACTTTAAATAGTCTTTCCTAACTTCATTCTTTTGTTCAGAAACAACTATAAAATGCCCAGTGTTTGCTAAACATGTTTACCAGTTCTTCCCAGATTTGTTTCTTATTGGAACAGATAAGGAACATAACTATAAGGAAACTAAGTAGAGGGAAAAAATGCAAATTATTTAGCTATAAAAATAATGACTCATGGGCTTTTATGTGATACTTGAGAAAATATAAGCATTACATTTTTCTGTTTTTCTGACATCAACATGAGATGCATCAACAGACAATTTATTAAGAAATTTCTTACTGGTGTCATTTGAAATTTTTCAGGCTGCTATCCATGTCCAGGGCCAAACATGAATCCTGTTGCTCTTGGAAGCCGCTGGCTTGCTTATGCAGAAAACAAGGTAAGACAGGGCCCATATTT